CCCCCCCCCCCCCCCCCCCAGGCCAATGCAGCAGAGAAATGGCTGCGCTGGCTGCCTCAAGGCCTTCAGGGCTGAAGAAGGCTGGTGCGGTTGCTTCAAGGCTCCCGGGACCAAGGCAAGTCTGGTCTCCTCAAGGCCTCCGGCACCAAGGCAAGGCCGGCGGGGCTGCCTCAAGGCCTCTAGGGCTGAGGCAAGTTTGCGCTGGCTGCCACAAAGCCGCATGGCTAAGGAAAAGCTGGTGCAGCCAGGGAAAGGCCTCCAGGGCTGAGTCAAAGCTGTCGCAAAGCCGCGCAGCCAAGGAAAGGCCAGCATGGCCAAGTAAAGGTTGGTGCAGAATGAAGGAGCCAAGGGAGGGAGCCGCAGGATTGCCATTCACGAGTAATTGAAATCACGAATCCGAAGGGACAACTGTACACCTGAGGATAGAGGCCTGCTTGGAGAGGTTGTAATCTGTAGGACTGGCAGCAGTATACTGTGAGAGGACATGGAAAAGGTCCTTCTCTCCTGTGTCATCCTGGTTGGGTAAAACCCTTCCTTTGGAAGCCCAGTTGGCACCATTGCTAGCTTTATTCTGGTGCTAAATTAATCTATGATTTTGAGTTAAAACATAATTAGAGATATATCTCTGCCTTTGTTGTTATTGTGTGCCTTCAAGTCAATTTTTGACTTACGGCGACCCTAGGGCAAACCTGTCACAGGTTTCTTTTTGCAAGTTTCTTCAGAGGGGGTTTGCCATTGCCATCATGAGTGTGACTTGGTCACCCAGTGGGGTTTTAAACTCAAGTCAGATTTTGAACTGTGGTGTCCAGAGTCATAGTCCAATGCTCAAACGACTATACCATGCTGACCTTACTCATGGTTGAATAGCTTCTTCAAATTTAATTTTTTCTGGCATGAAATGCATGCTTATAAATGTTCTTGTATATGGTATTTAGAGAGATCTTTTAGCATCTTTGAGACTAACTTTTCAGTTACAGATTAACATGGCTATATCTTTGAATTCTACCTGTATAGGGTAACTAGGGTCATTATTGTGATCAGCTGAGCAGTAGTTAATTTGGAGTGGTGAAATACTCCATTAAATGGAAACTTATTCTCTTTTGTTTTACAGTGATACTGTTTGCTAGCAACAGACGTGTGGGTTGTTTGACCGCTAGCCCTGCACTGTGGTAGCAAAAATGATGATGCAGCAGTGAAAAATCTATGAATTACTCACTAATAGGATGGGATAGGAACTCTGTTTAACATACCTTATTTTCCTGCGTATAAGACTACTTTTTAACCTGCAAAATCTGTGGTTAAAGTGTGGGGGGGTTCGTCTTATATGCCGGGTATAAGGATAAGGAGGATAGAGGTGCTAAAACTCTATATTTTGACTGGGAAAATGGGGGGTCGTCTTATACGCCGGGTCTTATACCCCGGAAAATACGGTAATCAACATTGTACAGGCTTAGAACTATTTAATTGTTAACATTTTGGTGAAAAATGTAAACTAATTCTTAAAATTGGCATAAGTATCATTGACAGCATCAAGTTTATATCTTTTGACCTTGTGAAGCTTGTGCATCAAAATACTTGACCATTATTTGTCTGGTGTTCTTGCACATTCAGTGCAAAACCTTGATCAGCAAGTTACCACTACCCTGAGGCAAAAGAAATGAGGGTATTAGTCTCTGTCCTATTTTTTAACCTTGGATGAGATAGCCTATGTTCTGTGGTGCACAAAAAAGTGTTAAATTAAAACCACATTGCTAGTAAGTACAAAACACAATAGGAAGCACAGCCCACATATTTTACCACTATGACTAACAATAAATATCTGAAACACCCATGCAGGAAATAGGACATGGAAAGCAAAGCCTGCATTAAGACTAGCAGTTCATATTGAAAAGGAAACAGGAACATTTTACTCAGACCATAGAGACATGTTTCAGCTGTTTGTTGTTTTTAACCACCTTTGAGACGATTCCAATTCATTACAAACCTGTGGATGAGACATCTAGAGTCTATCTTCAAGTGCTCTGCTTAGGTCCTGCAAATTTATACCCATGACCTCCATAGTCCATCCATCCAATATGCAATCTTCTTTTCTTTCTACATTCCTCCACCTTTCGTAGCATTATTGTATTTTCTAATAAGTCATGCCTTCTTATGATGCGGTCAAAATATGGCAACCTCAACTTGGAGGATGCCCCGTTTGTTTGGCTTTTTGGCTGTCTGCGGCATCCTCAGCACTCTTCTCCAGCACCACATCTCAAGTCAATTGATTTTCTTATCTGCCTTCACTGTCCAGCTCTCGCATCTGTGTATGATGATGGGGAATACTATGTCTTGGATGAGTCTGACTATAGTGCTCAATTGCATATTATTCTTTAGGATCTTGTCTGTTTTTTTTCATGGCTGCTGTTTCTATTCCTAGTCTTCTTCTGATTTCTTGACCACTGCCTCCATTTTGATCAATGTTTGTTCCAAGGTACAGGAATTCTTTTATTATTTTGATTTCCACATTGTCTAGGTTGAATGTATGTAGGTCCTCCATGATCATTATTTTGTAAGTGAATACGATGCTGACTCTGTTGATTGCAAGATTGGCAGGTTGGCAGTTCAAGGCTTGGGTGCTGCATGATGGGGTGAGCTCCTGACACTAGTCCCAGCTTCTGCCAACCTAGCAGTTCGTAAGCATGCAAATGCAAGTAGATGAATAGGTACCACTTAGGTGGGAAGGGTAAACAGCATTCTGTGCAATCGTGCTGGCCACAGGATCTTTGACAACACTGGCTCTTTGGCTTAGTAACAGAGATGAACACCGACCCCTATGGTTGGACATGACTTGATAACCTTGTCAATGGGGAATACCTTTACCTTTACCTTTTATGTTCAGCATTAAGCTAGCCTTTGTCCTTTCTTCTTTGAACTTCCTTAGTAATTGTTCCAAGTTCATGATGTTTTCTGCTAGTAGTATGATGTCATCTGCATATCTTAGACTGTTGATATTCTTTCCTTTTGCCTTTACTCCTCCTTTACCTAAGTCTAAGTGTGCTCTTCATATGGTATTTTCTTCATATAAGTTGAACAAATAGGGTGATAGAATGCAGCTGATTGGGTGCTGTTATCATTCACGCTCTGTCACCTACTATCATTCAAAGAAGCAATCATAAATACAACTACTTTATCAGGAAGGTAAGAAACAGCCAGAGTTCCCAATCGCATGTTAGCAATGTTAGCCGAGCCTAGCAGTAAAATTCAATGTTTGTGTGCAAGAATGAGTTCCTTGCACAACTAGATTACACAGCAGATCTTTGTACAGGCAAAGTCAGTTGCTAATACAAAGGTATCTACCCTTCCTTCTTGTACACATGGAAGCCATTCTGCTTTATCCCAGTGGGCTCTGAATACAAGCAATATTGTCTATCACAGCAAGATGCTACATAAGCATCAACAAGCATGTGCTGATGTTAGTAAACAGCTATATGAGAGTAAAAAAACAAGGATGAATCTTATGGCCCCTCAAAGACAAGTTTATTT